ATTTTGAATTTCTCATTAATTACATGTAATTCCAATTTTTCTTTTATAATTATTGACCCTGAAAATTCAGAATAATGCCGTTTAATTCCTTATTGTTTTCAGATGCATGGAATGATTGATGATCTACCCTGTAACCTGTAAATTTCCAACAATCAAGATACACTTTATGCTGTATTTGTTAGGTAGCCTTAGGTCTTAATGTAAGTTCAAATTCATATCAAACATTTTGGTGCAACTCGTGTGGATTTATATTTTATTTATGTACGAATAAAAAAAAAACTGAAATATTATTGTATTTTAGTCTATGTTTTTATCATAATAGGTGAGATTTTTATTATTATAAAGTAATACAAAAATTTTTTGCGTTTCTGACTTAAATATATTTTTAGGTATGAATTAAAATAGAGTCATGAAGCTTGTAGAAGAAATATTACTTACCTACCTGATATACTCTGAAATTACGAGTTATTGCGTTTAATACCTAAGGATATCTACCTGGAATAGGACCGTGATTTTCAACGTCGTATAACAAAGACCCCTTAGGTACTTTGACCCTTCTTAACGTTCTTGCAGTTGCCTATCTTTCTATTGGTGAGACTTCGTTTTACGCGGGAATATCCCCACTCCCTTCATTTGGCACAAGGCCTTCAGAGAACTCTCAGTAAGAATACAAACTACCCTAGAAGGGAGGATAGCCTTGAGGCTCCTGTAACTTTAAAAATGTATTCATCCTGTAATTTGTTCAGTGCATCCGTCGTTTTTTCGTGTGAATAGGTTATTTTTATTTTTAAATATTTAGGCCCTTACATACGAATTTCTTTATCCTGAGTTTACTTGTACTTATTTGCCATACTTTTTCTACACAATAAAGTAATTTTTTTCACATTTAAAATATATATACTTGTTTAAATATAATTTTTATAATATTTGTTATTGTGTGTTGCAGAAATGAAACGGAATACATCACGGTCTGTACAACAAAGTGAGAAGTATAAATCATCTCGAAGTGAAGATCACGAGGTTACACGTTCAAGATCCGAAGAGAAGATGCTACGGAGACGCGAATGGAGGATTCAACAAGACCTACAACGGGAACATGAAAGATTGAAGCAAAAGAAGATTTACGAGTATGAAATGCGACGCGCTCGTGAAAAAGGTTTGCCGCTTCCCAAACCTCCAAGCTTTGCTCATAGTAGGAGCAAAAGTAAATCTCCAGAAAGTCAACCGAGAAGAACTTCCTCCAGTTCAACAAATACTCCTATTCTTTCTGAAAGGTGAATGCAACATATGATATATTCTTTTAAACTTTCGGCAGTACAATACAAATCTCAGTTATTTAGATTAATGCATAAAAGATATTTACTACTGTAAATTACAAAATATTTTATTTGTTATATCCTAGATTAGAGTCTACTGATGGAATGGCATCATTATTTAAAGGACCAGAAGGTACAAAGATTAGTGCAGTAGAATTACGCAGAATTAAAGTAGATATTCATCGAAATATCCCTGGGAAATCAACTGGGTCGGAACTTCAGCGAGACATAGTCAATCCTGAAGATGTAATAGTTAAAAGAAGAGCGGGTAAATTGTTGTTTCTACACTACAAGTTTTTAATAACATTTTTAGTTATTCAATGAAGAAGTATCTGAAATGGAAAATTATATCGTCGCTGAAGATGAATATTTCTAGGATTTTCTAGAAGTTATAATTGAGAATTTGAATTTTGAGAAGAATGCAAAAATCAAATTTATTGTTACTTCTTTATTAGCTTTTAATTTTTAATTCATTCAGATCTTTTCCTGTGATAGTTTATTAATCTATAGATGAAGATATTTAAGAATGATCATGATTCACATCACTTGAAGATGGAAAGCTTTTACAACTATGAAGATTATGAATATCGATGTTACAATATCTTATCCATGATATTCAAGAATTTATACAAGCGTGCTCTTAATTTGCGAAGCTAATAACAGCTTTAATTTATGCAGGATATATCGAATTTGGAATACAACGGTGGATCACTGTCGCGATCACGTAATGTGCAATACGTAAGCACAATATTTTTTACTTATAGTGTACAATGCTTTGCTTTGTATATATTTTGCTTGCTGTTGTATGTGCACTTAAGGTTTTGCACAAAATATTATGCTTCAGCATTATTAACAACACTGGTCTGGTTGGTCAAAGACTGATTTATCAAAAAATAGTATGAATCCCATAAATCTATATACGAGGTGGGATCGGCATATGTGAATAGCGTGCGAAATTCAAAAGTTCTGGGAACTTTTTGATCACATCTCGTACATGATTTGTGCGTCCTCTTCATGTTTTGGTGTGGGAATGAATGCATGATATATAGAGGATAGTAAAGTTGTTTTTTTAAAAATACTTCACTAGCTGCACTGGCAACAACTTGAAGATCTACTATGAAGACTTGTTCACATTTCAATCAAAGAGATAGGAGTTAATATTAAATATTTCATTACGATTCATTATCGAAAGAGGCAATATTAAACTAAAAAAGTATGAATCACTATGATTTTACTGAAATTGCATAGTGTAATACGAGTATATTTTTTGTAATATTCTATTTCAATTGTTTATTTTAATTTACAACTCTACAACCTCTACACGATTCAGTTAATTCAGGGAAAATATCTTAGATTTACCATTTATAATGAAAATTGAAATTTACGAATCGTTAATGTCGAAGATTTATTAATCGCCTTTGAAGATACGTACGTCATCTTGGAAGGTTTTTATTGGAAGATATCAGACAGTTAATTCCGTTGTTTAAAATTCGATTGAAAAATATAATATTTTTACTTTCTATTTCAATTTCTTATTAGACAAACTAATGTTTCAATGCATTAAGAATTGTAAAAATGTTACTCGTTATTTCTTATGACTAGTTCAGAAATTTGAAATCTAAATTGAAAGTGTTTAACATGGTTTGTATAAAAAATATTTGCACAAGTTGAAATTTCTATTCTAAACATAACAGTTTAAAATCAATTGAAGAAAACATGCAATTTATAGAAATAAATTTTTATTGAACTATAGATATTCAAATGAGAGTTATTTTTGTACGTTTGATTCTGATAATATTACATTGATTCTGGCACTGAAGAAAGTTGTAAGCTATTGACATCCATTTATGGATGTTACATTAATTTTGAAAAATGATTTTTATTTTTGTGTAACCTTTAGGATACAAAATAAAATAGAATTTATGACACTAACATAATTGATTTAGATTTTCTATTAACATTCACTTAAGAAATGCTTTAAACGATTTAAATTATGATAAAAGTTGATTCAGTTTCTCAATTTGGATGGCTTACAATTTTTCAGAGGTAGCCAATTTATCTGAATTGCAACTTTAATATCTCCAAGGTCTGTCACAGCTGCCAATATCGCTTAATTGTTTATTTCATATATATTAAAACTATTTTCTTTATTAAAAATTTATGTCGTTATAGGAGAGGGATTGAAACCAATATTTGAGAGGGAAGAAATCAAGGGCACAGTAACCAATGAAAAAGAAATTGAAGAACATCGTACTGTTGTGTCTGTAAATAGTGAAACTATAGGTATGATTATTATTCCTAACACATAATTTTTTTATTTATATTCGACGGTAATTTTTACTTTACAAATACATAATTTTTCATTTTTAGATAGCAAGTCGAAAACGTTTAAGAAACGTTCTACGTCTTCGAGTCCAATCAAAACCCGAAGTTCTAGTCCTCGACACACGTCGTCTCGTCTTTCCAGGTTTGTGCCTGTAATGGCAATATTACTTTGTGTAATATTATATTATATAATAAAGTTGTTATAATTAGTGTCAACTAGTTGTTGTTGGAAGTTTTACTTATTTACAAGATAATATAATATGTGTATGATAATATAATAATTTTAATATGGATATGATTATCGATATGCAATCAATTTATGAACGAATAAAAAAAGATATTAATGTGAACATTAGATTAGCGTTAAGAAAATAGTATTCGTTCAGAAGTTAGACTGCATACAGTAAATATTACATTGAGTATTGCTATTGTACATATGGAAGTTTAACGCAGATTTTGATGAGAAAAGTCTTGAATATTATTGCTATCTAATTTAATATGATTTGTAAGTATTTTTATATATAAATAGTAAAAAGAAGTAAGTTTTCTAAATTCGAAGAATTTTGAGATGGATGTTATGTCTGGCATGGATATGCTTTGACATTGTATATGTTATATGTTTTAACACTTATGTTTAATCTCTTAAGGCTCAAAACTATATTAGTTGCCTATCGTGCTACTAGTTTGGTTTTTAGGCATGTTTTGTTTTTTGTTATTACAATTTGTTTTGTTCTAGCGTTACTAATGCTTCGCAAGGGTGTGGAGAATGTATGGACGCCATGGGACACGGACGCGATTTGCTATGCACTTGATTGTATGCATATGCTTGCTTATGCTAATACCACGGCATATATTTTAGCTTTTATAATGATCACCAGTTTGTAGACATTCTTGAAGGATGATGCAAAGACAAAACATATTTGAACATAGAGAGCAATTCTTCTATCATTTGCATATAAAATTCATCAATTTTAAGATTAGGGTAAATTGTCTTAAGCAAATTGATCGACTCAAAAGTTATTTAAATTCCTTTTGTTCAGGCAGCAATTTTTGACTGCATAGTATTGCATAGCAAATACATTTCAAAGAACTAAAGTTAATACAAAATCGAATATTTTGCACATAATGTAAAGAATTATTTCAATAATGGTTAATTGATGTAAATATTTGGTATTGCTTAAGATTGCTATTTTATTCAGGTAACACTTTGCGAACACAAATATTAACGAAAATAGCAGTGGGTAAGTAGTGTCGAACGTAAAAATTATATTAATTATTCATATATTCTAAAGAAATGGATATCATAATCTTTTTAAATGTTTTACATGTTTTACTTTTAACTTTGCATATTCTTTGTCTGCACTTTTCATAGAACTGAAGAACTTGTGGCACATCCTTATATAAGTAATAATAATAATAATAATAATTTTAAGTATAATGCAT